ACCTCCTCCAACAGGGCCACACCTCCTCCAACAAGGCCACACCTCCTAATAGTGACACTCCCTGGGCCAAGCATGTACAAACCATCACACTGGGTTATACAGTATACAGACTGGGGTATAGAATTCACAGTACACAGTACACTGTAGCCTGTGACAGTGTTTGACAAATCCTTACTGTGCACTAATGCCACCTCACTGGCCCTTCTGAGAATGTCCCTCATAGGGTGGCCTCTTAGCACGTCTTCACAGAGAGCAGGTGTACTTGCATATATGTCTCCGATTCCATGTCTTCCTGATCGCGGTTGTGGTGACAAGAGAGGTGGGAAACGGTGTTGCGGTTGGTGGTGACAGACTGCAGGGCTGGTGATGGTCACTTGGTGGTGACACCAGGACATAGCTGGTGCTGACGGCAGTCATTGCCCTAGATGAACTAGCATGTGGTGGCAGACGGTAAAGGACGGGGCTCAGGGAGACTTGCCGCACAGCGGTTAGGACCTGGGTTCGGATCCCAGAACGCATGTAAAGACAGATCCAGCAGCACACATCTGTAATCCCTGTGCACCTCTGGTGCCATGGACGGTGGAGCCCAGGACTCCTCAGGCTTGCACGCCCAGCACACATAGTAGTGAACAGTGCTTGTTTCAAACAAGGTGGACGGTGAGGACTGATACCTCAGGCTGTCCTCTGACCTCTACGTGCGTACTGTGGCATGCATGCACCCGCACCTGCACACGCACACTCACATGCACACACACACACACACACACGCATGCACACTCACACACACACATCCTTAAACACGGTCACACAAACCCACCCACATACAATACACATGCATACACTCACTAACTCACACATATGCATGCTAACACACAATACACATACATATACACTTATACACACACTCACACAACCCCCCACACTAACACACATGCTCACACACAATACACATACACATATACATAATTATTCACACGCACACACATTTCTACTTACATACTCACACAATACACTTAGACACACACAAACCCACACATACACACACTCACACACAATACACATACATATATACTTACACACATACACATATTTATACTTGCATATACATTCACACACATGCAGACTCATGTACACATTTACACTCACACACACACTCACATACACTCAACTCACACACAAGCACACTTATACACACTCACACACAAGCACACTTATACACACTCACACCGTGGGATGGCTGTGACTGTTAACCTGTGATTAAATACTGTGGTGACTAGCCACGGGGGGGTCGATGAGATTCTAGAAGCTAACTCATGGTTGCCTAGAATGTCAGCCAGGACACAGTCTTGATAAGTCAACGGCACTTTTTTTTTTTTCCCAGAATGCAAGAATTGTGGGTGAACTCACTGGCTTCCGACCAGTCCGGCCTCAGGTCCGGCTAGAAAGAGAACGGCTCCGTTTTGGATCTTCAAGTGCAGAGGTGTGTTGTGTCAGGGGCATCGGTGTCCACCCCAGCTCCAGTGAAAAGTCATATCAGCCGAGATCAGGGCCAGAGGTGGCCACCTCCCTCCTCCCTCCCCCTCCCTCCCCTCCCCCTCCCCCCATAAATGGGGACACAGCGACTTGAGATGGGAAAGGACTGAGTAGAGAGACGTGGTACTTTATGCCAGACATCAGGGCAAACTCGTGACCTTTTGGAGTCTGATCTGAAGCCCTTTGGCTAAGGAACAGCTTTCTCTGTCCTGAGGAAAAAACCAGGACCTCCATCGGTGGTGTTACCTGCATAAGCCAGACCACTGGTGAGGGGCGGGGCTCTGGTGTGACTTGAACTTGACCTCAGAGGCCTTATCCTTCTGGAGGAGGCTCCTCTGGGTCCCCTCACCAGGGGTATGAGCGACCTCTGTACCAAGGTTAGCTTTCTTCTCTTATCTCAGATAGGGGTACACAGAGGGCATGTGTGTGTGTGTACAGGTGAGTGTGTGCGTGTGTGGAGAGGCCGTGTACATCTCTCCAAAGCTGAGTGAGCAGAGGTGCGGCAGCGGACCGCTCTGATAGCAAGGTTATGCGGTCCTGCATTTCCTGTGCATGGATGAAGCACCCTCGCCTTTTAAGCAGAGAGCAGAGAGTGTAGGGCCTCATCCTGCAGCTCCTCAGACAGTTCCCTTAAGCTAGCTCAGGCTGGCCCCGCCCACCGCCCGCCCAGTAAGGCAGCGATGGAGCTCAGGGCTTCCGCTTTACTCAAGGATCTTAAGAGGGTTCCTGGTCTTCCGGTGTGACCAAGCTTTCCCGACCCCTTCCTGAGTTTCCTCCCGCACCTGGCCACCGTCTCTCTTGCTTCTCCCAGGTCATCCACAACTATGGTCATGGAGGTTACGGGCTCACAATCCACTGGGGTTGCGCGATGGAGGCGGCCAACCTCTTTGGGAACATTCTAGAGGAAAAGAAGCTGTCCAGGATGCCTCCATCCCACCTCTGAGGACTCTAGTGACCACCGCTTGCCCCAAGACGACATCCCAACCCCTTCAGCCAGTTGATATGTTCCTTGATGATCCCCGCTCCCCAGCCCCTCCCCCAGCCCCTCCCCCAGCCCCTCCCCCAGCCCCTCCCCCACTCCCTCCCCAGCCCCACCCCTGGCTTCCTCTGTCATCCATCTGCCTCTGCCTAGTCCTTCTAGTGCTGTGATGCTGGCTGGTCCTAAACAAGGCTGGGTGAGACAGGCAGGGTCTACGGCCATGAAGCAATTCTTCTCATGGCAGAACGACTGTACTAAAGCTGCTTGTACCGGGCGGCAGGGTCCGGGCTCAGTCTGATAAGGAGTGGTCTGGAGTCTTTTGCTTAGAACTCTGACGAATGGTTTAGAACACACTCCATGTCTATCTGTAGTGATGGGAGGAGGGGGATAGGAAGAAGAGGAGGGAGAGGAGGAGGAGGACCCCCTCCTTGGCACTCTGCTTGGTCAACATTATTAAAACGTTGGATATCCGAACTCTCTTCAGGATTGATCCTAAGACATGCCTTCCTCTCATTCTACCTGAAGACCCCTGTGGCCTTGAGGAGACTTGATCTAGCATGTATGTGTGAGGGGAGGGGAAAGTGGGGGAGGGCGTGGCTCAGGCTCTAGAGCAGACTAGGTTAATTGCTCTACCACTGAACAGAACTCTGTCCTCTTGAGGCCTGAAATCTGAGAAGCCTATTACCCTGGGCACAGTGAATATCATTTTAGCCTTTGTTAATGTATTGTGTCTGTGTATGTGAGTGTGAACATCCACGGTCGTGATGTGTTGAGGTCAGAGGACAACCCATAGATGTCAGCTTTCTCCTTTCACCTTGTGGGATCTGGTCTCGAATCCAGGTCATCTGGCTTGGCAGCAAGTGCCTTACTCACGAGGTCAGCTTACCGTTCCGCTGAAGTTTCTCATGTAGAGAGAAACAGACAGCATTCTCGCCAGTAAATGGAAGATTCTGTAACAAGGCTGCTTAAAGTTCAGTCCCAGCCCTACTGCTGGGTTTCTGAGGTGAGGCAGCTTTTCTATGGAGCCGAGGTTGGCCTTGAACTTATGAACTTTCTGACTTTGCTTCTGCTTCTCAGGAATTAGTGTGTGGAATCATGCTTAAATTCATATTCTCTCTCTCTCTTTCTCTCTGCAGATGTGAGTGCATGTGTCTTTCTGTGTCTATTTTCTCTCTGTGTGTCTGTCTCTGTGTGTATCTGAGTATATATGTGTTGCCTGTCTGTCTACATCTCTTTTTCTCCATCTGTTTTTTTCTGTGTGTGTGTGTGTGTGTTGTGTGTGTGTGTGTAGGGGTCTTGAGTCAGGGTTTCTATGTAGCCGAGGAGGTTGACCTTGAACTCATAAACTTTCTACCTTTGCTTCTGCTTCTCAGGAATTAGTGTGTGGGATCATGCCTAATCTCTCTCTCTCTCTCTCTCTCTCTCTCTCTCTCTCTCTCTCTCTCTCTCTCTCTCTGTGTGTGTGTCTGTGTTTGTCTCTCTTTCTGTGTATGTATGTCTCTCTGTCTCTGTGTGTCTGTCTCTATCTTTTTCTCCCTCTCTTTGTCTCTCTGTGCGTGTTTCATTTTTGAGGGTGTCTCATGAGACTGGCCTCAAACTCGCTACATTTCCGAGGGAAACCTTGAGCTTCAGACGCTCGTACTTCTGCCTCCTGAGTGCGAGGATTACAGGTGTGTACTGAACTTTGGACTTAGAAACGCTTCCAGAGTTCATCTTTCTCCTGGGTAGAAATTACAGCCCTCGTCATGTAACCCCTGGAGAACACGCCCACCACACCACCCCTCAGAGTCTTCCCTACTGGAGGTGGGTTGTTTGAGGATAAAGTGAAAAGGACCTCCTGGGGGGAGGAGGGAGGGGAGGAGGGAGAGGAGGAGGAAGGGGAAGGAGAGGAGAAGCAGACAAAGCAAAGGGAAGGATGTTTCCTGGGAGAAGCTGAACTGCCCAGGAATAACGTGAGACTCAAGAAAATGTGGTTGGGGCTGGAGAGATGGCTCAGCGGTTAAGAGCACTGACTGCTCTTCCAGAGGTCCTGAGTTCAATTCCCAGCAACCACATGGTGACTCACAACCATCTGGAATGGGATCTGATGCCCTTTTCTGGTGTGTCTGAAGACAGCTACAGTGTACTCATATACATAAAATAAATCAATACATCTAAAAAAAGAAAAGAATACAGAAAATGTGGCTGGGTGTGGAGGTACACAGGAAAGAAAGATGAAGAGATTAGGGCTAGCCTAGGCTACATTGTGAAAGTCTGTCTCAAATATCAATAATAACAATCATGATCATAATAATGTGGCTGTCAGAACAGGGTAGGGGGGTGGACGCCAAACTCTCCCCATGAAGAAGAGGCCACTGTATGTTCATCCCACTAACAGAGTTGTCTCCATAACAGAGTTGTGTCCATTGAACTCAGGGTCCCAGATGCTGCCCACCAGCTGGGCCCCTGCACCTCCTAGAGAGGACTTTGTGCTCAGAGAGGTCAGAGTTCTTTCTTGGAACAAGGGAGCCGACTTTCAAGTGAACTGTTGCTAGTACACCGTGACCAGTGACCAGATTTAAACCCTGTAATGTCCGTCACCAACGTTTTAATAAGAGATGAACGCACAACGCACACCCGGCTTCCTTGTGATGTGTCCATTGGGCAGTGGCCGGTCTCCTCCGGCCTTTAGTGGGGCCTGGCTGTCTCCTTCCTCCCCCTGCGTGTTTCCTTCCTGAGTCTCAGAAGGTGGCTCGTGTGTTCCGGAATCCGGGAGTACACATGGACTGCCTCCAGACCTACCTACCTCCCGTCCTCCCTCCTGAGGCCCAGACAATGGGCTCCTCTCTCCCTCTGACATGGGCTTTCCTGACCCTCGTGTCAGGACATCCTCTCAGGACCTGCCTCTGTAGGGTCAGCACTGCCCTTGACAGAGGCGTATGAGAGAAAGCGGAGGCAGACCCAGAAGGGGCAACAGGTTCCTGGTCCCAAGACTTCGTGGGCCTGCACTTGGTGCTTTGCCTGGAGATCTCTCAGCCCATGCTGCTGCCTACACACAGCCAAGTCTGGAAGCCCGAGTAGACCGGGACTCACCATCTAGTAGGGCTGATGGGGGAGCCAAGAGAGAGGGCCCAGAAAGGCCTTAACTGCTTCAGGAGTAACTCTGGCTTTGGTTTGGGGGCGTTAAGTCTCCCCTCTTCCAGGCCTCAGTCTCCAGTTTCTGAGTCAGGGAATGGGCTAACAACTTTCTGAGTATGCTGCCTGGTGGGTACCTAGCTCTCCCTAGAAATAAAACAAGATGCTCTGCAGCCAGAGACAGAGAGTCCAGAAGGGACCCATGGGGGATACTTGGCTCAAATTCAAATGCACATTCACCAGCCAGTTTCTACCCCGCAGGCCCTGGAGAGGCATCTGGAGAGGCCCAGCCACAGCGGAAGGTCTCAGGCTCCAGAAAAGCTGCTCCGGCCAGCCAGTAGCTCGCCTTAATTGCAAAGAACTCCTGGGGCCAGGGTGCAGAAGAAACATACTGGACAAATGGCAGGTGTCACAGGGGTCTGCGCTGAGACTGTATCTATGGGGATCTTTGGGTAGTGGCTTTCCAAGGGTATGACTGGGTAGCAATGTGACATCTGCTCAGCTGGTCCTGAGCACCCTGGGACCCTCCCACACTAGCCGCGTCCCCATGCAGATCCACGGTGATGCACAAACCTTCCCCGACCACAGAGAACCCCACCCTGGAGTGAACGCCACCCCATCTTCCTGGGGTGGGTGACCCTCGATGAACATGGCCAAACACAGTGAAGACACAAAACCCTGTCGGTCCACATTGCCCTCTCAGGAAAGTTCTTGATGTCGGCAGTGACCGTAAGTGGCCCAGCTGGGATCCTCCAGCTCTCTAGGCTCCAAGCCTCAAAGACCAGCTCAACTCCCAGGAGTCACTACTCCTGAGAGCCAGAGTTTGATCTGGGGACACCTGTGCTGTTTGTCCCTCTGCCAACCATCTCCTGGCCCCACTCCCGGTGGCTGGACTCCTGCAGTGCTCGGCCTTTGGTCTCGATGGGCAGAAAGCAGGAGGCCACGGCAGCCAGGAGGCAGCAGCCACTGTAGACGGCCAGGGTCAGGTACACGGAGGATTCCAGCATCACCTGCGGAGGGAGATGCAGGGAGTTAAGGATGGCTTCTCAGAGCCGTGGGCAGGACATAGGGCTGGTAGCAATTGGAGGATCTCATCCCTGTAAGCATACTTCCATAATCCTTATCCTAAGAAGCTGAAGTAGGGAGGATTGCTTGAGTTCAAGGACAGCCTGGGCTACAGAGTAAGACCTATCAGACTTAAGATTCTCCATATCTCCAGGCATGGTGGGTACCCATCACTCCAGCAAGAGGATCCTGAGTCTAAGTTCTTAACAAACATACACTAAGAGCCTGTGTCAAAAAAAAAAAAAAACCCAACAAGAATCCAAAGTCATTGTTATGGTCTAGCCTATGCCAAATTCCCAGTCTGATGACAAATATCAGACCACAGACAGGGCAGAGCTCGGCGCCCTGTCCCCGAGGAACCGGCATACAGTGAAGACATTCTAAAGAGACACATGCTACCCTCCCTTTGACTATCAGACTGTTGTCAGGCAACGGCTCCCCAGAACTGGAAATTTGGATTGTTCCGGGGGGGGGGGTCTTGTCCCAGAAGGAGGAGGAGGGGAGAGCCTGGTTCGGGTCAGAAGGAGCCTGTGTTCTGGGACGATATGTCACAGAGTTCGGAGGACTTACAGACCACCTATCAGCTGGCGCTGTTGGGGAGGACCACAGTGTGCCTGGGAGCACCGGGCTGTGTGATCCTCTTCCCTCTGCATAAACCTAAATCTCACACCGGGACCCTGATGATGGACTTGGGGGAGACACTGGACCCCTTTATTGGTTTCTCTCCCCAGCGTGGCCGTGTGAATGCGTCTCTGCTTTTCTCCTCTCTCCATCTTTTTAGTCGGTGCACTGAGGACAGCCTGTTGGGATCGGTGGGATCCAGGCTTTGATCCTCTGTGACAACTCGGTGACAACTCGGGGGACATTAGAGATGAGGTAGAAGGGACAACAACGCAGAGACGGATGGCAGCACCCCAATTTGCTGAACCACCCAGAACGGGTAAATCCGTGCAGGCAGGGAGCAGACTGGTGTTTACTACAGGTTGGGGTGGACCCCTAATGTCCCCATAGAGGGACTTGGGGTGCAGTCATGAGAACACTTTGGAAGTAGAAAAAGTGGGGGTGCATAGCACCGTGAATGCCATTGTGTGTGAATGTCACCAAATGACTTGTTAGAACACAGCCCCTTCAGGGGCTGT